GGCGTGTGGCACCGCTTTCAGTTCAGTACACCCTATCCTAAGTGTGTGGGGGGGGCATGTTTGACAACTATAGCCCATATAGAGGGTAGTGGACGGAAATTGCTTTGTGATCACCGATAAAACCATAGAATCTCAGATTGCAAACATGGTACGTAGTTACTTTTGAAGAGACTTCCCAAAGAAGAAGCGTCCTAAAATTAGGCATCTATGATTTCTCAAGCGAGTCAAGGCTTGTCAAGCGCTCGTCTGCAAACATCACCCAGCCTACTTCAATAGAGAAACGACTCTATGGTTTATCGTTGTTCCAGTCTCTATCCTGATCACTTTGCCCTTTGCCCATGCGAAATGAAAAACACAACAACCATGCACCCATCAGCTGAAGCGCTTGACGTGATCCGGCATACCAAAAGTTGCTTGGCCATAATCGAATTGAATGAACTGTCCAAATTGTGACCTCGCCGACGTGCATGCACATTGCTTCTAGGTTGGAGCCGGTCGCTCTATTAGGTTGGAGGCCCCAAACACAACGCTGAACCCTCAGCCCTAGGAGCAAGGACGCTACTAGGAACAAAGGGCATCACTCCTAGGAACAAGGACGCCACGAACGGGGCTCCTGGCGGAGCCCAGCTGGGAGCGATCGGACGCTACGAACGGGGCTCCTGGCTTCGCTACGAACGGAACAAGAAGCTGAAACAAACCGCCCCGGCACCTGAACTTCTTCCACAGCGCCGCGGAGTTCTTCACCGTGACCTCAGTGGGTCCAACCACCGGCCCATGGGTCCGGCCGGTCGCGGCGGCCAGGTGGTGTGGATGATACCAGGCGTTCCTCCGAAGCTGAATCTGTTAAGCTTAATCTGTAAGGGGGCCCATGAAAAGCCTGGCTTTGACCGGGTTGGTTCTAGAAACCAAAGGGATGACCAAGGGGTCTTGTGGTGAGATTGGGTTTCATTTGCTCGTCTGCTCCTTCAGTACCCATTGGGTAAACTATGGTAAACTACAGGCATTCTGCAGATTCATAACCCACAGCGACACCATGGCATGCATTCCGGCAAAAATAGACATGGGCCAATGGGCTTTTGAATCTTGAACGACGCTCACCGAATCCCTTGCGTGTTCACCTGGTCATTTCGTTGACACTTGCGGCCCACCTACGGTGCCCATTCGTGCAACCAATCACCCTAGTCTTGCTGATCCCTTTCTTCACCTCCTCCTACAGTCACTCAACGTCTCAAAGCTTGCCGGGTGATCCACCTCGGAATCTGATCGTGTTCAAAGCAGAAATCGGATCCTTGTAGACTTGTGATGTAAAGAATGTCTCATTCCACACGCCAGGCTATCTCTGTCCTACTACCTCCAACCTCTTTACGGTCAGGGTCAGATGGTCGAGCCGCTTTGAAGCGAAGAATCCGATCCACCTGGAACTTCGTCGTCCGCGCACCCGAGGCGTCGCGCATCTCGCCCTCCTGCGGCGAGGCAAAGCACGGCGGGCGTGGCTGCATCGGGCGTGGCACGAGATGCACTGCCGGACGGCCGGGTGTTGGGTGTTGGGGTGCCGGCCGTGGCTTAGCCTATAAATAGAGAAAAACATCCTCCTACCTATGAATAAGGACGTCCTAGGAATGCACCTGCACTCAGGTCTCTGCGAAACTTCCACAAAATCCATCAAAGTCCTGTTTCTTTACTCTCGAGTTTCACAGTGACGCCTAGGCCACCTGGGCCCTTGCTCAGCCTTGCTCTGCTTTCTTGCTCTCACCTCTGGCACCCACCCCTGCCAAACGCTTCGCCTTGTCCACCACCTCATTGTGCAGATAGAACATCACACCACCCAGATTCGCCAGGTTCATGTTCTCCTTTGCATCACGATGCCGAAAACACGAAGGTCTCGTCGACTGAGCACCGGACAGACATCGACCGAGACGAGCGCGGGCGATGATCGAAACGAGATTGACTTGGACGACTTTGATCTGGAAAGATCTTCCAACCAACAGGTTCCTGTGGTTTGGAAGCTGCTTCATGCCGATAGGGATCTGTATTTGGAGGATCTCTATGGTTGGACTTCCCCACACCTGGGGCCTTCTAGCTCGCAAAACCTTGCACATTCAGTCCACACTTGAGTCACGGCGACTCGAGCCTGTTCCAAAAAGCTTCAACCAGGTGATCAGGCGATCACTTAACCAGCTTGACCGGCATACCCCCTACTTTAGGCGACCCCGTTGTTCCCACCGTCACCCTCCCCGTCGCCGTCGAGCTTCCCAGAGGCGACCCTTGGGCATCTGTCCGCTTTGTGCGCGATACCTTGGGAGCAGAAAAACGCTGCAGCTGTGTGCGGAGGACCTCGCCATGCAAACCCCAACATCATGCTTGTTACCCATGCAACAGGATGCAACCCCTGTCGAGCCTTTGAGCATCACCAACAGCAAGGAATCTGCCACGTCCGCCACGCCCAGGGACTGATAGAAAGTCATCAGCTTCGGCGAAGTGGACTTGCTACCTCAGGACACGTCCTACCTCTTCAGAGCGTCTCTCAGTTTGGGCTGTAAGCTACGGTGCAGTGGATCCCCCCCCACTCCGGTGTCCCGGTCTCCTCCGGGCTCCGAAGGACAGCGAAGATGTCTGTGGAAACCCTTACATCGGCGCCCCCCCAGCACCACATGTTTTTTCTCCAGAAGAGTCCAAGAAAAGGCAGCTTCTGGAACAGGATCTCGGCTCTTTCTCTCTTTGGCTGAAGGAAGGTGCAAGGAAGGTGGGTATTCAGCAGAATCCAGTGAATGAGACTGCCAAGGAGGAGAGAATGTCAATGTCCAGAACCTGTAAAGCCTGGAACAATCGGTTCCGACATGTTTTCAATCATCCCAACAGGAATGCGGATTGAATCCGTGCACAACCATCCTAGTTCCAAAAATAATTTAAGAGAAACACATGGTCGTTCAAATGATGGTACAATTTACCATATGGTGTCGGTTCACAAACTTACAAGAATCCAGTAAGTTTGTCTGGAGCCGCATAAAGCTGAACCTCTTGTGCGTCATTCAGCTGTGGCTTCAAACGACTGACTTTCGGATCATCCGGAAGTTTTCAAGCCTTGCTTGGCTACCTACAAACTCTTGAGTCACTTGGGCAAAGCCTCTGTACCAACCCTGCCTGCCATGCCCTTCGCCAAGAAACACGACCCGCTGGGTTCAGGTACCGTGCCTTTCTCGCATTGATGCACCTCGCTCTCTCGCTGTCGAGAATGAGAAGGACCGGACGAACTGATGCTTTTGGCCAGCAGAATACAGTAGAACAAGCGTGTTGGGCGAATCTCAGCGCGGGGTTACGCCCATGTTACGCCCTGTGCTCCGTAAATCAACAGGTTGGGCAAAGAAATCAGATTCTCTACGGGGTCCTACCAATTTCCAAGTGCTGAAAAAAGGAATAAAAGCACCCAACATCTGAAGAACCAAGCCTGGACACTCCTTTCCATGCGCAGTAACAAAACTGGCGAATGGCTTCGTCACTGGCATCTCATGGCCCCCGTTCGTAGCGTCCGATCGCTCCTAGGTCCTAGTGGTAAGGCCAGGAGGAGCCCCTCGTAGCCTCCTACCTCCATCCCTCTACGCCTCGGGTTGCGGCCCCGCAACAAACCCACGCCTCCACCCGTCGGAGCGGCGGCAGGGTCACCGTTCCACCAGCTCCGCCGGTGTCAGGACCGGCTTGCGGCGTCCAGAAGGTGGAACAAAAGCCACTGTAATGCCTCGCAAAAAAGGTGTAAATGCATGGGTGATGTGGGGGAAGAGCTGTGAGGGAACTGGTAACGTGGGGAAGAGCTGTGAGGGAACACACTTTGAGCCTACGTCTTTGTACCAGACTAGGTTGCATGATCTTGAGATGAAAGACTTGTGACTTCTTCTTGCTGTACGGCAAAGGAGGGCAAGAAGAAGTCGCTCCGTGAGTGTTTCTCAGCTGAGCTGCATTGGCTCGTTGCCAGTGTAAAACTGCCCGGTCTTCCTCAGAATGCGAGACAGGGATGCGAGGAACAGAAATGGACTAACGATCTGAACTGTTAGGCGTTCACCTGTATGAAGGTATTGCATGAGATTGCATGGAAGCACAGCTCAAGTTTGTTGCCACAAAAAGAGAGATCCTTTATATAAGTGTGTCGCGTCCGGGACACGTGACAAAAATCCACAGATCTTCTGTGGCACGCAGTGGAGTCACAGGTAAACATGTCCCTTTATTTCAGCAGTTTTGCAGAGTTCACCTCATGAAGTGATAACTAAGCGACGAGGAAGCGAGGTGACAAGTGACAAGTGACCTCCCCGGACAAAGTTCATCAAAGTTCTCCAACCTCTGTCTTTAAGGCAGCTTTCTTGCGTCACCTGGTCTACCAACCCCCTGACATATCACTACAAAGGCAGACTGTATGATGCAAGCGTCAAATAGCATCCGCCGAAGGTGCAGAAGACGAAGCTATTGCATCTTGGATTGGAAGAACACGCTTCTTCACACCGAACCCTTGGTCGCTGCAAGAGGTTACGATCTGTCGTTTCCTCGTCGGGAGTCTTGGCACATACCAGTTCATGATCAGGATCAGGGTTGCTTGCATGATTGGGAAATGTCTGGGGACAGAGTGCAGTGCTGTCCCGTGTGCTAGGCTGCAATTATGACTCCAAAAAGTCTTGAAACTACCTGTGCTTGCGCTCCGTCCAAGCGCTGGTCGTTCTTTGCGTCACTGGCGTTTTGACGCGCAGGGCGGAGCGAGCCGTCCAAGCGTCTTGCTGGTCGTCAGCTGTGCAATCTCCTCGCCTTCGTTGTCGGCGATCATGCCCCATCCTTCGGTCAAACCACAAAGAAAGGCTCAACACAAGAAGACGGGAGAATTTCTCACTGAGACGAACGCTCTTCCACGAACCTCGTTTGTGTTCGATATCCCGAGAAGAAAAAGAACTGAACATGACAAGGGTGTGTCTTGGAGTTGAAAGGAATGATTGATGCTTTTTCACTGCAGACTATATCAAGCAGCTGCTCACACTTACATGCGGTGTGCGTGTTCGGGTGCTGGTGGATGTGCGTTCTGCCTGTGCGGTGTGCGTGTGTGGACACAACATCAGGGCTTCGTATTGTGCGGTGCAAACAGCACATGTTTTTGTCGGAAATATCAAATATCATTAATATTTCCCTTTGTTGTGTGCTTGGAGCTATCTGCGACCCCGTTTTCTGAATTTTGGGTTGAAGGCCATCATCGCTATTAGTAACAATGAGCCTCGCTACGAACGGAGCAAGAATGCCACGAAGGTAGCTACAGTGCTAGGGCATTGCTACTAGCAAGGACGCTACGAAGCTGGAGGCCATCGCTCTCACTGCACGTCTCAATGGTCGGCCCGTCACGTTGCACGGCGATGCCCGTCCTGTTGGTGCCAAGGGGATGTAGGTCTTACTGGGGGCCGGCTCCACCTGGCGCGGCGTGGTTCATGGCTGTCGAACCAAACGAGGAAGCCGTCTTAGGCCAAAGAGTTGGGTCTCTGCGGTTCTTTCTCGGATAGTGGGGGATCAGGGTCTGAAGCAAAGGCTGTTGTGGTCCATCCTGCTTTGCTTTTGCGACTTTGACCACGACTCGAGCGACTTCGATGATCAACACGTGAGTTTTGAGGTTTGGAAGTGGTCCAGGAATCACAGCGACCCCTGCTGAGTTGACGCGTCATATTCCTGCAATGCCTTTTCCTGCAATGCCTTATTCCTGCAAGGCAGGATGAGAACTTGAGAACAAAGAACTGTTTAGAAATATCCAAGAAACAAAGCAACCACGTGTTCCATGAGAAGAAACAGCATATGTTCCCATCGACTCAAACGCTTGCAACTGTAAGTCAAGCTGCGGATGTTGGAGCTACAGTTGATTCAGCTGGTGCGGGTGGCATGGGCTGTGGCTCCATCGGCTGAAGTGGCTGCATCCAGGGATATAGGATCGGTTGCATGGGCTGCATCGGTTGCATGGGCTGCATCGGTTGCATGGGCTGCATCGGTTGCATAGGTTGCATCGGTTGCATAGGTTGCATCGGTTGCATCCAGGGATATGCAGGTGCTGGAGGTTCTTGCCACGGTTGGCGCATGCGCCAATACCATGGCTGGCTCTGTTTCCTGAGATCAAACATCCTGGAGAGAGTGAGTTCAGAAAGCTACTTCACAAGAAGATCCTACAACATCTGAGTCATACCTAGTTACTTAGTTAGTCACCCATGAAGAACCATACGAAGAAGGACACCTCTGTCACCTCCGTAGGCAGGTCGTAGTGACGCGTTCGACGTCTGAAAGACTCCTTTCAGTCCAACAAACAGATGTCCATCCTATTCGGGCTGGATTCGGGCTGGATCCTTTTGAGTGCTGAATTGAGAGAATTGGCACCTGAATCTGACGACCCCAGAACATATATGCATCATATGGCCGGAATGCCCAGGAAACACCATTGGACACCCGCACGACCAAAGACACAAGTGATTGCAAATGGAGGACTGTCCCTCTTGAAGGTCCCCCCAGTTCCCTCCCATACCATCCCATACCCTGATGAACATCTATCCGTCCGCACTGCGAGGAGAGTTCAGCAAGATTGGAGGCTTTGTGGAATGAAGTGGGACGTGAAACACTAAGAAGGCCAGGCATCAGTTGTAAGGCGGAGAGGGCACATTGGCCGTCTTGGCATTCATCGTCCGCTGGGAGGGGGACACCCACATCTACCTTAGGAAGGGCGTCAAGCGACATGTCCACGTGCCGGGCCATGGCAGGGTGGCCAGGGTGATGTGAGAGCCAGCAAGAATCACCACTTGAGCAACCCAGCAAAATCCATCGATGCTAGGGTTCCCATGCATGTTCTATGCATGTTCCATGATGAGGTCGTCTTGGATGACCAGGATGGACCCCGATCTTGGACAAGGCAGTTGACACCGCGCGAGGATCACCGCGGATGGACACGTTCTTGAGAGATCTTGGAGGAAGCGACGCCTATCTTTGGGGGAAACAGTACAGGCTGACTAAATGACATGTGACACACATGCGCACACACATTCGATCCCAAGCTGAAAAAGCTAAATACATAAATGCCTCAATAGCTCTGAAGCTAGTCAAACTGCTCTAGATCAATGGACGTCCAAGGAGCATCCGACAACGCCAGCTGGAAAACGAGAGCAAATGGTCGCCACATTGAAAGCAGCTCGGATGTGTGGCAGGATGGTCTCCTCTTGAGGAGGAGTCAGATCTAAAAAGTCCTGTGGAGATAGCTGCGGAGTCAGTGACACGTGTCGATATTCGCAGATTTCTGCTGGAAAGTCAAAGGCAAGTCGATGGCTGGGAAAACAGTTCTGGCAGTATGAAGCTTTGAGGAAAAAAGAAACATGGCTTGAGCCCAGGCCACCGTCACAAGTCGCGCAGTTGGACAATCTATTTATGCATGGCGTACATTTGCGTACAACAATAACATCTGCAGAAGAAGCCAACTTTCTAGAGTGATCTTAGTAGAAAGTAGACCGAAAAGTCAGATTACATCATTCATCCACCATGACCTCCAAAATGACTTCAGAATCTTCGAATCAGGTCACCCCATTTTATAGCGTGTGTTGAAGGGAACTTAGACTTAGACCAAATATTATTTCAAGTGATGTTGCAAACATGATATCCGCCACATATCCATCCAAAATGACTCCCGAAAATAGACATCAACATATACGTTCTACTTAAACCCAACATGTTGAGTTGAGTCCTTTTTACTTTGTTCCGGCTCTTCTCTCGTCTTATCCCCGTATCAAGTCGTGTCTGCCCAACCCTCTCAGGTCGTGTTTGCCGCATCCGCCTTGTAATCAGCGACACCATCCTCACCTTGCAGCTCGTCCTCGATACATCCCACGACGAAACAAAGCGTCACCGGCAAAGTCCCGGCAGCCTGCTTTTGTGGCCGACTGACCAGTGCGGTGGCCAACTGGGGGGGGTCAGGAGGCAGTCGGAGATTTTGCCGTGAGTCCTAACCGGGAGACGTACGAGTCGTACGAGTCCGGAGCGACAACGAGCATCCCGCGCAAAAGCACACGGGCGCTGCTGGCCGGAGCTACGAACGGAGCATTTCGGGGCATCTGGGAGGTCGACCTAGCAGGGTTTGACTTACAGCCATATGTCCCTCCAATCTGTTGGAGGCACAAAGAACTCCACAAGGACATGTCTATCAAGCTTCCATCCGGGAAGCACCAGTCGAGTTGTTATCCGCAACACAAAACACAAGGTGTCCCCGCAAACCATGCAAAAGAAGAGGTAAAGCACAAATCGAACAAACACAAGGTGGCCAAATCCAAATTCTAGAAGGTTTGTCAGATTGAGGATAAAAACCAATCTCAACATAGGACTGGCGCCTCAGAATCTTCAGTGCCGACTTCATTCACGTAGCACCGCAAAAAAAACAAAGGCATTCTTGGATACTTGTGTTTATCCGTTTCTCCTTCTCACATTCTGTCCAGATGTTGACGTACATTCCCTCGAACACCACCCGAGGGCAGCCACAGTCCTTTTGTTGAATCCACTCAACCTGCAGCGTGCGCATGTGAGATCAGGTGAGCGCTCAAGGGTGTTCCAAAACCGCTTCCTTGGATCCAGGTGCCTGCCTGAAATGCACCAAGTGACCATTTCACCAGTACACCAACCTATGAATGCAGCAACCCCGTGAAACGGCCGCTTTTTCCACAGCTCCACAGCTCCACAGCTCCGCGGAGTGCAACTGAGCGTGGCTGAGGCTCCCCACGGAGTAGAACTGGTTCTCATCCTGCCAGAGCTCGGCACCCAACCACTGCGAGACGACGGTGCGCTCCGTCAAGGGCTGATCCTCGGATTGGGCTGAGTAGGGAAGGACACAGCTGAGAAAAAGCGGGGCATCTGGGAAAAAAACATCAAAAACACGCCCCCAAGGAAAGACCGATAGACGGATTTTTTCCCCAGGTCCAAACATGTCCAAATTGCAATGCCCTCTGGAGAATCATAAAGATTGAAGTTGGAGCCTGGAAGACACCACTCTGGTCCAAAGCTAATATTTGTGCATCACTCGGGTCCTCGTTCGATTGTGGAACGAAACTCAAAGAATTCAGCCGACAACCCGAAGAGTCACCTTCCGAGGATTGGCTGTCAACCCCCACTCATCAAATTGGACTATATAGCGTCCTTGCTCCGTTCGTAGCGATGCCCTTTGCTCCTAGTAGCGTCCTTGCTCCTAGTAGTAAGGCCAGGAGCCCCTAGTAGCATCCTTGCCATCAAATTGGACTAGTTCAGGTGATTTCACAAATATTCACAATATTCCCCTCATCTTCCTTCCACCTCTTTCACCTCTTTCACCTCTTTCACCTCTTCCACCTCTTCCACCTCTCCCTCCATCCATAGGCTCAGCACCATCCACCGGACCATCCCTGCCTTCTTAAAGATCGCCGTGGGCGCAGCATAGCTCAAGGCCCAGCCCTCGCTTCGCCGCTCAGCACGCGTCACGTGGGCGTCGGGCCAGAAGCCCTGCCGCATCGGCGCGGACGCGCTGCGTTGGATCCAAAAAGAACGGAAGAAACGGAGAGAACCCGCGCAAGCTGGCATCGTGCATCTACAAACACCTACTAGCACTGTAGAATAGATTAGAATAGTATGGACCTACTACCATAGAAGTTCGATGAAGTTTGTTTTCGGTGGATGGGGGTCGCTCAAATGGCCCAGTGGAAGTTTCTTAGGGACTTGGAAAATGAAAATGGACTATAGAATGAATAGCATGCATGGTTTTCAAGATCTATCAACCAGTCTTCTCATGAGTTTTCGAAGGATGACAACCATGGCTTCAATCAGTCTCTTAGGCAATCTCAATCCCTAAAGCCACATCTGATACCTCCAAAGACTGGATGAAGAATATGCCGCATGCCCATGCCTTCATGATATGTTCCATCATGTTCCATCCCAATCCCTTCCATCTCTGCCTCCAGCGTCTTCGCCAGATTCGCCCCCCAGTCCGCCACCGCAGCCGTCCCGCGGTCCCCGCGGTCGGCGTTCCCGCGGTCGGTGAAGCTCCAGAGCAGCCGGGGCTCGGCTCCAACGTTCGGAAGTCGAAGGATGGAACCCATCGCCACACCAGGCACCTGAAGTCGAAGCCCCTCGAGTTCGGAAAGTCAGTGAAGGTGTGAAGGTGGGGTGATGTGTTGGGTGATGGGGCCTGGGTGAAGTCAGTGAAGGGCGGTGTGGCGGTTTCAGATCTGGGGCCTGGGTGAAGGAGGAATGAGGGATTTATCGACCCAAGCAAGCATGGCTTGCATCATAATTTATATGCTAACATACGTTGCTGAAGCATAATCCATCAAGAGAGCAGTTCCTTGCTGCTGAAGCTGTAGGTTGACAACCTACAGTTCATCATGCATGCATCATTTGCATCATGGCGGGTTATCATGGAATCATTCTCATCATTGCGGGCAAAAATGCGTTCTGAACCTGTAGGTTGGCAACATACAGCCCATCAAGAATGCGTTCACTTGCAATGTGATGTGCAAACACACACGGGTGAAGCTGAGGTTTGCGACCCAAAGATCCCAAAGCATGACTTGCATCTTGATATGCAAACACACGCTACTGAGGAGGCAGGTTGGCAATCTATCACCTGTCAAGAAAGGAAGTGCAGCCTGCAGAATCAACAAAAGCACTAACCTCAAACAGTTCCAGCTCGGGCAAGAAAACCGCACATGCGGTTTTGTTGCACGCTGCCATTCCATGAAGGAGGAAAGTGGTCGAAACAAATTGATATCACTTATAGTTCCCGCATGAGACATATCCCGTGTTAAAATTCCAACCCTTTCAGTCCCTTGTTATAGTCCTCCGCAGTCCGAAACACCGCGCACCTGGGGGTTCAGGAAGCTCCAGCCCTGTGGAAAGCGCACGTCCCGCTTCTTGAAAGCGACCTGGGGCCACGGTTCGTGGCGCGCGGCAGCGGACCGGTCAAGGGGGCGGACGGGCCCATTTCGGTGGGTTGCATCGGGAAAAGAAAGGCTACGAGAAGGTCAACAGTGTCAACAGTTGCACGAAGCAACTTCATCAAAGTGGTTGCCAACTTCATCGTTTCGTGCCACCAAGTTAAACAAAAAGATCCTTGAGACTCAAAGATCCTGGAGACGAAATCCTGCGCCACCACTTTCCTGGAAATACCGGGCGCTCCTACATGGCGGCACAGGATTTTGTCCACGAACGGGAGCGAGAGAGCGCAGCAAGTCGCAACCCACGCAACTATGATCAATACAGCACCGCAATCAGTCTTTCATGGTCCATCCCTATGCGAAGCCAAATTCACCGACTTCACGCCTCACCATCCGTTGGGGTCGCCAGGCGAGCGTTGTCGTGCTGCTTTGATGGAGTGATTCATCTTTTTAAAAGGGAACGATCTGCATGCATCTACATGCCCTCTTCCTCTTCCAGGGTCACCTCTTTCTGGTGTTACCAACCACATATAACCGCAAACCAGTCCCAGAAAGCGCCTTCCATTGGCCCTGGAGCCAAGATGGATAGAGCAGCCGGTCGCCTCGCAGAACGACGACAACGAAGGGCACAACGACACGGAAAGTGAAAGGTGGGTGCTGCAGTGATGTTGCTATGTCATGCTATGTCCAGGTGCCAACACGCCTTCATGCAAGGGTGGCTGAAGAAAGAACACAAGGCGTGGCCGATTTGTTTGGAGGTGAGGGATCCCTCACAACAATCTCTTAATGCCTTTCTGCTGATGAAGCCTCAACGGGCCTTCAATTTGAACCATCCATCCCCATCGCGCTGCGTCAGCCGCACAGGGTCTGGCTGAGATCAGTTCCATCCGAAAAGCATCAGTCTCCGGTTTTCCCACCGTCCTGCTTTCGCCCCTTTCGATGCATTTGGGGGGGTGTGAATCAGGGATTGACCCCAGATTCGACCTCTTCCGGGAGGTCCAAAAGCCGATCAGGGATCGAACATCCGAACGTCAGACACCTTGGCGGCTCCAAAGGCCACTACGTTCCCCATGTAAACCTCAAATGGAGCTGCAAAAAGCAACAAAAACCAACGCAGACCGACACTAGCTGGTCCTTGAGTCTTCAAAATGCCCATGTCTGGGCACCTTGCTTCAGCATCTGTCATCCCCCCAGCTGCTCGCCATTTCGTCGAGTTCGTCGACCGAATGCCCCCACTTTGGGAAGCCAAACGTACCCAGCTGGCCACCCGTGAGTAGACCAAGGCAGGGCCAAATCCCACGCTCTTTCGCGGAGTTCCTTCGCATTTCCGTGGAAGCACCACGGATCTGGAGGTGGGCCTTTTTCGAAGTACGAAGTGCTTCACTCATCTCTTGGCAGCGGATGCTATCGGAATCCATGTTCCCCAGGGTCTAATAGTTTCCAGAGTTATGAGGTATAGTGTGCTGTAGTCATTGTGAGCAGCTGTTGGGTACTGTTACAGTATTTATCAGCTGTTGGTGCGGATCAGCGGATCAGCGGATGATCGGGTCCGTCTGTGCTCCTTGAGGAAGGTCTGAACACGATCGGAACTTCCAGCTCTTCCCCAGCTCTTCCCCAGCTCTTCCCCCTTCGACAAGCGGAAAAAAAAACAGTTCGGAGCCAAGAGAGTGGCTCCTCTCCACGCCCTGGTAGTGGTAGTGAGTCGACTCGGAAGTTCTAGGGACATGCTTCGGAAAAGAAGAAACACCTGAGGTAGACATCCAGGTCTTCCTGTAGTGTTGTGAGGGTCTTCTTCTTTCCTGTGCAAGTTGGGATGCACCGATACACGCATACTCAGGGGCTGGAAACCCACCCAATCCCACTGGTAAGCAGAAACGTGGCAACCCATGGCCCATGCCTAGTTGATTCACCTCCATTGCATACGGGTGGTGCATGCAAATGAATGAAAGCGGTTTTCAACAGAACATTCCTTTTGCTACCACCAGAGTTGCAATCTGGTGAAGAATAGACATTGCCTGTCTTTTATTCTTCCTTGGATGGGACAAGATTGTGGGCAAAGAGCCTTCTCTTGTGGCTCTTGACTAAAGATCTTGAGTTGACGCTTGAAATTTAGGACGGAAATAATAGCGGTGCACATGGAGAGAGAAAGCGGGCACGTGACAAACCTAATGACACAGAATGAATCGGATCGTGGATCGTCACCATGGTTGGGAAGTGCTTTGGGAAGTGGGGGGGAAGGCCGTCCAAGTCGACGGGCAATCTATTTTGCACTCTGTCCTTCCTTGTCGTCTTCTTTGAACGTACGAAGGTCCACTCCAATTCCCGGGACGAACCGATGTGGCGCCGCTCAGCTCAGCTCGCACCTACTGCGAGCGGTCGTCCAGGTGGAACGAGAGGGTCGACGTCCAACATTCAAGACTGAACCACCGAGGTTACTAAGAGCGATGGCCTCCACCCTAGTAGGGTCCTTGCTACTAGTGGCGATGGCCTCCACCCTTTTCGTGGAAACTCAAGAACCACCGAGGTGGGACTTCCATCGCCAACGGTCAATGGCATGACGGCATGACCGGCGTCATCGAGGCGCGAACATGGGATAGAGTCTCCTAACCGGGAAGTTGCGTGTTTTGGGGAGAAAGACGGATGTACCGGTCTCTTCTTAGGTCATTTTGCCTTGGCCTGTTCAATCAAGATGGGTGTTTCCAGCAGACAGCAAGAAGTGTCTTCCCTGAAGCACTTCCTCAGGTCAATGTTGCTAATGCAAGACCAGGACCATTGGCTTTGAAAAGGCCAGTTTCCCCAAGCAAACTGCGACGTTTGCCGACCGCCGGTGGAAACCAAACGGGCGTCTTTGGGAAAAGAATGTGTTGCTCGGATGAGCCATTTGACAGTGAGTTCGCCCCCTTCAGAACCAGCCCAAGTGCAGCATGCCGCTTCCGCGACCTCGTGCGCCCGCGTGCCTAAACCACGGGCAGAAAGCTTGTGAGGTTCGAGACGATGCCTTCCTGAAAGCAAATCTGGTTTTCAACAGGCTGACACATTGAACAAATTGGCTTCGAGTAAGATATACTGTAGGAAGATCACATGTTGCCTGTCATTTGATCTGGTGACATCAGAGTTGGCCGCTCTGACGTACCTGCACCAATGTTTAACCCAGTGTAAAGAACTCATGTTTTTTGTTGAAACATTCTGTTCATCCGACCCAGCACCTCTTGCGGTTGCATCTTAAAGTGCAGATTTCGTGGCAGGTGCAGTACTTTGTGGATCCCAGCTTAGGACCCCATCCACCACCATTACCATCACCACCATCACCACCAATCAATTGAGTGTAAAGGTCTATTTGCAGTAATCCGGGACTTCACCAACTGACACTGCTCTTTCGAGCCTTTATCTAAGTCTGTCTCGCCACAGACCCACTGTGGGCTGTGGTGTGATCCCCAGCGAGGGGCGCCGCATATGCACATGCCCTTACGGGTGACCCTTTCAGGATTCTTCGTCTTGCATTGGAACTTCACCGGCTATAGTGCTTTGCTCGAGATTGCTGATCATACGCCGCAGGGCTCACTGACACTTTCAAAAGAATGCCATATCACGCCACTAAGTATAATCACTAGGCAGGACGGCTGGGTAGTCACTTTTTGCTTCTTTCTTTCCTGCGGTTGCTCTTCGTTTTCTAGGTCTTTTTTCGTTTTCTAGAGGCTTTTTGGGTGTAACCCAGGCTTTTTAGTCAAGGGTGCGCCGACTTCGGCTTCTTGTCAATGCCTTCGGGCCTGGACCCCAAACCCCCCCCCCACCCTACACCCCTCGCACCTTTCGTTCCTTGCCTTTTTCGTTTGCTTGGGCTTTCCTTCAGGCTTGTTAGGTCGGCGCTTAGGCTCGTTTAGTCAACGCACGCCCTGCCCACACCCCCGCACCCCCTTGCACCTTTTCTTCTGTTTTCCTTGCCTTTTTCGTTTGTCTTGTTCTTTCTTTCAGTCTTGTTAGGTGGACATCCAGGCTCGTTTAGTCAATGCACGCCCACACCCCTTCCCCCTCCCCTCCCCTTCCCGCGGAAGAAAGAGGGCGCGCCGTTCCGGCTTTTTGTGTGCGTGTGTGTGTCACCTCCTCCTGTTTCCAAGGAACTCGACCACACTAAGCCATTGTACAGTGCAGGGGGTAGCGGCAGATCATTTGGGACCGCTACCAACGAAGACGCCCGTTTGATCTGGTGACATCAGAGTTGGCCACTCTGACGTACTTGCACCAATGTTTAACCCATTGTAAAGAACTCATGCTTTTTGTTGAAACATTCTGTTCATCCGACCCAGCACCTCTTGCGGTTGCATCAAGTCAAGGTCTATCTGAGTGGAAAGGTCTACTTGCAGTAATCCGGAACTTCACCAACTGACACTGCTCTTTCGAGCCTTTATCTAAGTATGTGTGTGTGTGTGTCACCTCCCCTCTCTAGGGAAACTACCTGTCTATTACTTTTCCTATTTGAAAGCATTGTGCAGACACCAGCAGGGGTGAAGCGGCCCCTTCAGCAGTCACTGCCTAACAAAGACACTGCTGATCGGATGTGATATTCGGAGGGGAGGGGAGGCTCTCTGATCGGATGGGCCATTCCGTTCACCAAGTCAAGGTCTAATCTGCAGTAAAAGTAAAGCGCTAATGAGCACCGAGATCCACCCCGAATCCTTGCTCCATGGAGCTTTATTCTGAAGTGTGTGGAACCCCGTTTCCCAGAGAACGACAGGACCTCCCTATGTACAGCCCCTGCCGATCAGCCTATGCAGCTGCCTCGTTTCCTGCCCCCTCCCCGGCTCAAAGGCCGCCAGGCTTCCATGTCATGGACTTCCATGGTCTCCATTGATGGCCGAAACATCTGCCACGCTGACCAGAACATCACCTGCCACGGATTCTGCGCGATGCAAAAAAAAAGGAGGGCGCAGGACCACGGATCTGTACAACCGGTGGACGTACAACCGGGGCTATTCGATCATGGTACAGAGGAGGGCGTTTGGAGCCACAGTTTATCTATCGTATTCAGCCTCCCTTCCATTTTTGGCTCTCAGGACGCCCCAGCCCCTTGTAACTGACTCAAAAGGCGGGTCATTAAGGTCATTAAAGGCGTGATCAAGTCTCAGGACACCTGGCATGTTCAAGTCTTCGAGGTAGTTCCTCTTTTGCTCCAGGATAATGCGTCAGTTCATCCAAGACTAGAGGATTCTTTTCAGGTATCCAACCGAAGTATTTCACATATTGGAAACGGGGAGTGCCGCATCCAACCGAAGTGAGGTTAAGGCTTAGTGTCTGGGCCAACCAAGGACCTTTGGAATTGCTTAAGGCTTTTCAGACACCTCAGGGGGCTTGACATTCATATACAGCAGCATGGCGAAGGCTTTGAACTTCAGCATTGCCACTGCTGCCCTAATCCTTCGAGCAGCCGCATGTGACATCCACAAACATCACCTGCGGCCTCTAACCCCCACTGCTGGCTCTAGCCAAGCTGCCACAAAGTCCACTGAAGCCCAGCCGTTGCCTGGCGACTCGCAGCCAGCCAGCCGTGGTACAGATGCCCTGTGTGAACACGTGTCTCAACATGTGGTGCAAGAGACAAGCCCCAAGAGACCTACAGTAAGAGGTCAATGAACATGTGTCTCTCCCCAAGGTCCGTTCCAACCATCTACCTGCAGGTCAATGACCTCATTGGAGTTGGTCATACAAAAGCACTATTCAAGCAAGCAAACGACCTGGTTTTACTGGGCCTTTGGACTTGTAGGGATCTACTATAAAATCTATAAAGGACCCTGAACCCGTGACATCCTGACGCACTCTCTCGACTCTGGTAACATCTCCAACCCCCTTTCTCCAACAGCGGTTGGTCACCACCCACCCCGTTCTCCAGTCAAGTGGCGCATGTGGCGCGTGATCTTCAGACCAAAAAGGCCCTGCTGATCATCGAAGCCCTCTACCTTCCTGGCATCGGCTAACCCGATCGGACCAGATTTGGCACGGAAGATCCAAGGACTCAAAAACACCGGAAAAAGAAGTCGTTCTATGGAATGGATCTTCAGAAACCTCTCTTGGGTTTCATGATTCCCCTCACCAAGGTCATCTCAATGTAAAGTCCAAACACTCCCCGCCGCATACAAAGCAATTACGTATAGAAACTCTTTAGGATCAAAGGACGGTCTTTAGGTGTTTAATGGTTTTTACATCAAAACCATCCAGGCTGGAGCGTCGTCCCTCACAAAACCCTTCAGGGATCCGTCGGCTGAAGAGCCCACACCAACTCGTGATCCGTCGTCGAGTCTCACCCCGAGGAACACCCACAACCACTTCCTGCGGGGTGCTGGTCTTCGAAAAGGCTTCAGCCACCCAAAATGTGCCAAAAGGCTTCGGCCTCTGCAGTGCCAAGAGCAAAGTGGCCACTTCTTGCTTCGCTTCGCCTCGAAGAAGTGCTTTCGTGCAAGAAGTTACACTCTGTGCTTTGGGTGCTTTGGGGTGTGAAGGTGCCGTTGTTTGTTGTGATAAGCATCGAAGAACTGCAACTGTTTGCTCTTCACACCCTCTAGATCGATCCATTCGGATTTGAATGTGGTGTTCCTGATGTGAAGGCTCATCAAAATGAGCACTAGATCGCACTAGATCGCCCACTTAGACCACAATCATGGCCACACAAACCGCAACCACACAAACCACCCCCAGCAAGTATTAGTATTCCCCCAGTCCCCGCCAACGTGGCACGTTCTCCGCGACACCGCGTGGCGCGCGCGTGGCACGTGCGTTCTCCCGCACCTGGCCGCGTGAGGATGTCCACCGCAGCGTCTGTGAGGACTCGAGCATCGCGCTCGAGCAGCAGGTTGATGTTCACCTCGCTCGGAAGAAACAGAACAAACATCGAAGATCACGGATGGGTGAGAAATGGGAACGAACAATCAGAATTCAAGAAGCAAGCCCTTCTTCTAATTCTTGGATGTCATTCGTCATGAAAAAAGAAACACCGAAAGGGCTCAAGGGGCCCCTCCCGCTCGCGTCGCATCAGACGCGGACACGCGGAAAAACGTGCTGCAACAAGCGACCGAAACGGCCCAGTGTGTCGCGATGTTTACAGGGTATACAGCATGACCCCCTAGTAGCTTCCTGTTACTAGTAGCAATGGCCTCCAACCTAATAACGATGGCCTCCACCTAGTAGCTTCTTGCTACTAGTAGCTTCTTGTTACTATATAGTAGCTTCTTGTTACTAGTAGCGATGCACCTGTTCCTACTAGCAATGCACTTGTTACTAGTAGCATAAAGAATAAATACTTTCAACATCTTTCAACAGGTCTTGAACAAATCACCTAAAAATCCCTTGAAAACCGTGCCACCGTGCAGATGCGCACTACAGTATCTCTTTGGGGACCACTCGAACCGCAGATCTCGATGTCGTCCGCTCAGACCGATCACGGTGCCGGGCGGATTCGCTTTCGCTTTCGATGGCCCGGGCCAAAGACCTGCTTTTGTGACGTTCGTAGCTTCTTGTTACTATATAGTAATGGCCTCCAAGCTACTTGCGATGGCCACCTAATGGTGTCCTAATACTCACACCGGGAGAAACCTGAAGAATTGAAAGGGGCAGCGACCTCCTTTGAGCGATAAGATGGATCTTCCAAGTTGGAAAACGAAAAACACACCAAAAAGAGAGAGCGCAACGCAACATGGGTCACTCTGATATATTTTGCAACAGGGGTCACGCAACACAACAAAGCTGATCCGTGGAGAATGACTGACGCTTCCTCCGTTCGCTGTTGTGCACAGTCCATGTGGAGAATGCATCTGTTGGCGGTTCGGTCCACCTCCATGCCCGATGGATCGTGTCCAAGCACGGCACGCACGTGGTGTCCTAATCCCGATCCAGTGACGCAGACTTGAAAGACGCGCAGAATCGCGTAGTTCAGGGCTGACACCAAAATGAAGATCAGGGCCAAGCCTCTCGGAGCGCAAGAAGGGGGCAGGGCAGAGGCAGGCAGATTGGCCTATATGTCTTGCCATGTTCGTTAGGATGGCAAGTACCAAGTTCAATTGCCTTGAACAGGTACGCGCAGCCATCTACTCTGACAGGGGAAAATTGTATGTTCTCTGCCAGCTACTCTAATCGCTGACAGGGTCAGGTCCAGCCCGATCACTCAAACACGTTGGATCCCTTGGAGGCCATAGCTAGTAGCTTGGAGGCCATCGCTTTTAGTAACAAGGGCATCGCTACTAGTAGCTCCTGGCATTACTACTAGGAACAAAAAGCTACTAGTAGCAAGGTGCATCGCCACTAGTAACAAGGGCAATACTACTAGCAGCAAGGACGCTACTAGGTTGGAGGCCACCGCTCTTAGGTTGGCCTGGTGCCACGCCTCGCGAGAAGGGGTCGCGGTTCAGGATCCAGTCGAGAATTCCGCATGAGGCCAAGCTTAGGAAAAGGATGGTCGAGGAGGCCGCGCAGAAATCCATCACGGCTGACTCGTCCACGAAATCAATTTGAATGTACCTCAAGGTGTCCAGCTTCAGCGAAAAGTTGTTCTGGGAGTTTGTGCTGCTAAGGGTTCAATTTGCCTCAGTAGCCAGTCTTGATCCAGTCTTCATTTGAACAAACTACAGTATGAAATTCTGGTCTCCTGCCACGTCAAACGTCTCAGTTGACAGTGCCTTTCCAGAATGATGCTGCTGACTACTGCAAACACTCCTCTGTTGCTAACACTCAGTCCTAGCTTAGCAACACGGACCACCAGGAAGCTCCCTCTAGCCCATCCCAAAACATCCCAAAACCCCTTCATGTACACTCTTGATTCACAAAACTCCTCCAGAGTCGACAATCTACAGGGTTTTCCATGGTTTTCCATCTGTACTAGTACTGGAAGGAGAATCTGAGAAAATCTGGATTGCCACTCTCATCTGAAAACACCAAGAGCTTCCAGCAAGGTACTTCCGCAGCTTCCACCAGGCTTGGATATCCACCATCTTCTTCAAGTCCAAGATATCTCCATCGAGGTGCCTGCAGTCTTCACCAGAGACTTCGTCAAGAACAAATGGGTACAGTATATGGAGAGTTGGTTTACACTTGACCTAAGAGGTTCTTCAAATAGTCCGAGGATTTGGAATCCGTTCACATCGTCGAGTGCCTTATCCTGGGAGGGGTGCTCCAACAAACAGGAGGCAGCGTTGCACAATTAGCTTCAAACTTGCAACTTACAACGAGCGCTCTTGGTTTTCATGGTGCTGACCAAACAACCACTGGCAACCTGAACCTTAATGCTGACTAGGCTCAGGTGTCTACAGCTGCAGCAAACTGGATTAGGGAGCAAAGAAATGAACCACCTACACCACAGTCATATCGTCTTTTTCAGTCCCCTTTTTGCTTACCCAGATCCGCTCGAACCCTCGAGACGATGTGCTTCTCCCGCTTCTCCCACTGCCCAGGCGCCTGTTGATCTGCTGCTTCAATTCCACCTCGCTCACGCTCAGGTGACCGACATTGCTCCGGCCACTGGTCGGGCTGACGGTCATGAGGATCTCTCCTGAACTTGCTTCCAGGAACTCCTCCAAAAAGGGATGCGCCCAGAGAAAAACTAAAAGGTTCACATGTGGCCCGTTCAGCGGTGTAAACCAAGTCTCGCAAGTTCTTGCGATTCACTGCACTCCACATGTCCACCTGCGCTTGCTCTGACAAGGCGGTAAACAGCAGCAACTGATTCCTCGGGGCGCGAGGGCGGTTGTCACGCACGGCGGTGTTCACCCGTCTTTGACGGGTCTTCAAGCGGTGCGATGTGCAACACATCGAACAGAGATTGTTCGGGGAACACCACGTGAATTTGGCGGCCACGATGGATGTGTGAAGGTTTTTCGAGCAAACTCCCATGGGTCCCATGACCACTCAATGACGAACGTTGGTCACTTTCGCTACGAACTTGGTCAGTCCAGATCATGTGATCTTGTCTTTTGCCATCAGGGCTGCTTGGGCCAAGAGAACAGGAGAACATGCAGCGTAGGAAACCTGGACACTCGTGGGTTCTTCTCTATGTCCAGAAGAACTCCTGTCCGACCCAAGTACCTCAGGTGCTTTTCCGCGCCTTCTCCTGTCCACGCCAGAATCTATCTCCGAGCATCGTATTATCCTGAAAGCGCTTGGTCGTAAAAAGAATGCCTTGCAGGAAGATGAACCAATGTCTGGTTGACAAGTAGACCACCACGACAATGTGGACGAAGGAGATCCAATGAAGACGCATCCTGAGTTCCAGGTAGCTAGGGAGATAGTAGCTAGGTAGCTATGGCTATTACCTTACTTAAGTTACTTCCAGCTGCCATTCACGAACGTCAACCAACCGGGCGGTCTTCGTGTTGCACAGGTTCCAGAATCTTGCTCGAATAGGGCGCGAGCGGCTTGTGTGAGTGGGTCTAACCCAAGTTCACCAAATCTTCAGCCTGATTTCGGCAACCCCAAGCAGCGAGGACGGTGGGAAAGATGGTCGAGCACCAAACCCACACGCAAAAGGTTCCGCGACTCATGGAAATTGGGATATTCGATGTTCATTTTGAGGTAGACATTTGCTCACCTCTCATAAACACGCCTGTCTTAGACCAGAAAGGACATCACACGAGATTGCACAATCCGTTCAATCCATGTCATGAGTCATCACGGTTCATCACACGTCCTCACGCAATCAGTTGACCCGCTGACTACCAGGGAGGTGTTTGGATGGTTTGTTGGGAGGATATGTCCTCCCTACCCCAAAAAACCTTCGGTTGATGCAGGAGACGAGAGACCAAAGATGACCAAAGCAAGAGCTATCGACCAAAGATGCGCTGCTCTTTTGAGTCAAGGCGTTGAATTGAGAAAGAAAAGTAAAAAGCTCATGCTCTGGAATCCACTCCTTTCCCAGGTTCTGCTTCCCCAAGATCTTCACCTCTCGTAGGCCTTCGCAGCTCATGTCCGCACAACGGACCAATGTCACGGCCTCCTCTGTGCGCGATTGAAGGTAGAGCATGCCTTGCGGGATGAAGCTAGCTTCGCTTCAGTACTGAGGTGATGTTTGGTTAGAAAAACACAGGCACACATAGGCACACACACACACCTTGAAGAGTGGAGGAGGAAAGGCACGGTCGCCTCGCACAACTAGGAAGGGCACGGTGGCCACAACTGAACACGCGACCGAAAGATCTGTCTCTATCTAGCGAAACATCTCAACGTAAGCCTGTCATAGTAGGAATTGCAAGAGTAGGTAAGCTAATCATAGACCATGTAAGACTGTAAGACCTCTAATTCATTCAATAAGGCAGAAGATTAATCAATACATATACAAGTAATATAGTGTTCCAAGGCCTGTTACCCCATCATGCACGAATACTCCATGAATGACCAGCCGTACTGGGGTGTTTACGACACTAGGATGACAACATATTCCTAGTATTGATGGCGGAGAAGTTGATCCAACACCTATTGCTGCTCCAGACAAAATCCATTGAATATAAGATACCCCTGAACCAAACAAATTTAAAAGGAACCCCTGAACCAAACAAATTTAAAAGGATCATACTCCCAAAGACCTTGCTTGGTGTCCTAGCCCACCTTGCCCCCAACGCCTATGAACATGCAGAGCGTGGAAAAGTAGATCACAAAGTTCTCCAAAGACGAAGCCCTGTGGCTCAACTGGGACATTTCCCTCTGGATATCCTCCGCGTTGCCTCAAAGCAACGGCAACAAAACTCGCTCATCGACAAGATGGAAGATCCTCACGTGTCGAGCAGTGTCATCATCGCCCTACTTCAAGCGCCTCTCGAGGGAAAACCACTCACTCAAATCAGTGGGTTTCAAGTTTTCGATACACCAACTGACTTGCAGACATGTTGCAATGAGCATGGTGATTGGGCTTGAAGTATTGCGGGAATCTCGCCTCCAGCGCGCTACTAGGTTGGAGGCCATTGCTACTAGGTTGAAGGCCATCGCTACAGTACTAGGTTGGAGGCCATTCGCTACAAGGACTTGCCGGCGACGAACAACCTTCCCTGAAAAGAATTGAATCGGTGGATCTTGTTGGCCGCGCAAGGCCGCGCAAAACACATGCCACGTCCGAAACATGCGCCCGACTTCGAGGCTCTTCGCTCTTCGAGGCTCTTCGAGGCTCTTCGAGGCTCTTCGAGGCCTCCAGCTGCTTCAGCAACTGCAACGCTTTCCGGTCGCTGTCGGTGCCATCTTTCTGGATCTCCATTCCTGGACAACGACACGACTCTGTCGGTCCAAGCGACGTAAGCGACGGGTCGGGTCTAGTCTTTTTGATTCGTCTGACAAGACATGCACGTCCCCGGTCGCGTCCGTGACCCAATCAGTTTCTCTAGCGAAAACCAATGAAAACCTTGGGTGTTCACCTGTCCCAGCTTCGAATAGCTCTGACCAGGATGGTGATAGTACAGGTTCGTTCCGAAACAGGCCGTGGCTGAGAAATGGAAGGTTGGAGAGAACATCTCTGCTGTGGGGCCCCACTGTTTGCAGATCGTCTATGATATGAGCATCATTAGACGATGATCACTCCCCCAACGTCTACACCAACGTCTAATGCTCCCTGTCCAAGTCTCGATTTTGCTCCTTGTGCCAAAAGACATGTGCACCCACTTCAATCCTCAGTGTCAGTTCGGAAAGGAACAGACACGAAGTGGGCTCTCTGGCCATGACACGGCGGCGAACCCAGGATCAACTGGACACGTTCCGCCTGCGGGGGTAGGCGGTTCTATAAACCTCGAGTTCAATGAGTCACATCACGGGATACCTGGATAACTGTGTGAAAACCAATGAGAAGATGCTGTCGTGAGCCATCTTGATAGGCTCTCCCTGTGAAGCTTGAGTTTCAGGCGAAGATGCCTGGCGCCCAAAGACCTCTACGTTCACGGCTTCAGGGCACGACCGAAGCGGTGGATCTTCACCACAGCGTCAAGCACCGAAGCTGGTCAGTCTACAGGGCCCCGTGGGAGAACCGAGACTTGAGATCTACATGAACATACATGAACCATCATGAACCTAGATGAACCACTTCTTTCTAGGCAGTTCTACTTCTACCATCTTTTTTCACCATCCTCCAACCCCCACTCTGTCCCCCCACTCTGTCCTTTTCTGTCCTTTGGAGGGACTGTCGCCCGACGCCCTGTGGCTCAAGGTGCATGGAGACCTGCAGGATACGCCAAAGGAGAACCGCACCCACCCAGCCTCGGTGCAGTTCACTTCGTCCGACGTCCGGCCGAATTGGGAAAACAACCGTCATGCAGACTGAGCTGGATCTGTCGATCTGTCTGTGCTTATTCTGGAAGTGAAAAACCGAACTCCTAACAGAACCCCTCAGAAACGCTGGCATTTCTGAGATCTCTTAGCATTTTCTGCTGACCTACATTTGCAATGCATGTACTGAACCGAAGAAAAAGCTCGTAGAGAACCTTTGGACAAACGCCAAACATTAAACATCGTCTCATGGATGAAAAGAGCAATCCGCCTCTTCGGTATTTCACATTATCTGGATATGCGAAATCCCGAAATCCCTTGGTTTCTCGATGATCTCCGACTCTGCGAAAGGCACATCTCCTCTGTGTTCTGACAAGGTCTCAAGAGAATGCAATTCCGTTTCTCCGAGACCCTGAATTCCAGCAAGGCTGGTAGGCTCTCTATGGCCAGTCTGCCGACTGGACTTCTCTCTTTCTTCGACCATCATGAGGTTCGAAGATCTGTCGTCCACGACACCCACGACACTCCAACATAAGCAGAACTGCCGTCCAGCACGACTTGTTTCAGCCACCCAGATCTGACTCCTTCAGACGGTGCCGTCTCCCCAACACCTCTGCCCACCCCCTCAAAAGAATGACCCTCCAGGACCTTCAAAACAGGAAATGGGAGATCATCGCATGGCTACGAAGATCATCTGCGCCTATGCAGCTGAACATGTCTCTGAGACCTTCAGTATGACCTGATGGTCTTCACTGCCAAGCCACAGGCGTCGGAGATCATCGTCGTCTGCAACGCTTCCGCCGCCACCTTCAAGTTGTTCTTGCTCGCCAAGTCCACGTAGGCCCAGCAGTTACCTGGTGAAGCAGGGAACCCTGGGAACCGCAGCCACAAGCCAGCCACTTCCTGCAGGAGTAGAGACTTATGAAAGGAACTGATGGAAGGCTTTAGGTTATATTTAACTATAATATATTACATAATAACAATAACTATACAGCCCAACCCCATCCAAGGGAGAAGGACGTATCCCTTGTGGCTACTTGACATGCCTCGCTCACCCGGTGGCCAGGAGGCGTATTCTGAGGTAGGCCGCAAAGAAGACCGTGAGCCAAAGAATCACTTCGTTCACAAAGGCACACTTGCTGGAGCCCACCAAGAAGTGCCGCTTCTGGAAGGAAAACTTCCTGAGGGGTGCGCTGCGGACTGCAGGTGCGGACTGCAGCATTTGGAGGGTGCTGCAGTCCAAAGCGTGGAGCAGTTATTGAACTGATGTGGTACAAAAAACAACAGAAACGACGTGTAACGACGTGATGTATGTATGCACAGGATTGCTTGCAAAAGGTGTTTTTGAGCGACAGGGAGACGGCGAGCCCGTGAGGCCCGTGAGGTCCGGGGGCTTGGGAGACCTGACAAGCCTTACATAAGGAGAGCGCTTCATCAAGCCTCATGCTTGCTGCTTGCCATCTTGCTTGCTTGAAGGATAGTCGGACAGCCACACTTGGCAGTGACCCCTTGAGGTTCTGTGAATGCAAACATCCAGGTGCAGTTGCAAGCAAAAGTCCTTTGATGTTCTCTTACAGCCTGTTCTAGACTCATGTCTTAGCTCCAGCAAATAGCAGCTATGCACCAGCATCTTCATCTTGATGAATTTGGGTATATAACCAGGATATACTCTTCGTGTGGCTATTCTCATTTCGGCAGGTTAGTTTATACACCTTAATTTAAGAATTGAACACTTGCCGCCACTCATGATGAGCATCCACAGGAAGTAAATGGAGGCCGGCACGTTGACGCCGGGCATAGTACAGGCCGTGGCGATCACCGCATCGACGGCTAAGAACTGCCAGAGCTGATGAATGTCAAGAATCGGAAGGGCTTGAGCGTCCTGCAGCCGCTTTCAGCCGGCGCGGCCGTGGTTTTTTTCTGTTCAACCGTAGCGTCCTTGTTACTAGTAGTAATGGCCTTCAACCTAATAGAGATGGGCTCCACCCTAGTAGCTTCTTTTTCCTAGTAGTAATGCCAGAAGCTACTACGGAAGTGGAAGAAACCCTGTTTCTCCATGTGCCCCGTATTGGCCAGTTGGTCGCGCCAGTCTGTGACCCCCTAAAGAAGGCACTCCTCTCGGTTTTTCCACTGCCGTGATGAACAGCCCGAAATCATGCATCGAAATCACGCTCGAAATCATATTCCGCACCTGCCTCTCCAACTCAGCTCCCCTCTTTACACCGTTGATCGAAGCAATCGCCCGTCCTCTCCCAGGACCTGCTTGAAGACGTCCCGCTCGACTCGCACGACCCTCTCCCCATGCTGCACCGGTGTCAAGGGCGCATAACTGGCGTCATGGCGCGACATGGTCATGGTCTTGTCATGTGAACACTGCCCGTCTTAGGCAGTGCTCAAATGGCTGAGTCGTGGGATGGCCATGCGAGTTCGAAGTCAAAAGAATGCCGATGCAGAGCCGACAATTGACAATGGTGGGGTGTTCAGTCGGAAGGGATCCAAGATGTTTTCCAGGAAAGTCCGCTGGGCCATCGAAGTTCTCGAAAGCAAGGAGCATACAAAATCCCGTCTCAATTCCTCCCACGTTTTAGGAAACCTACTTACCTTACGTGACACTTCTTGCTAAGCTAATCAACCGTTGATTCCACCAAAGGATGGTTGATTCACGTTGATTCCAATGGTGATATCCCTGAAAACGCTGCGAACGTGGCCCCTTGCCCCTTCATATGCAGTCCTATGCTGTAGTCTTGAACTGGAAAAATCGTATCGCTAACATATTCCTGCACCATTTGATATCTCACTTCAGAGACACAGTTCACTAGAAATACTGGATCCAAAGAAGGTTTACTATGATTCCCGAATGGTGTATGTTTGTCTCAGGTCAGTCTAGGCTCTTCATCTGCTTTGCAACAGAAACCCCGACGCAGCGCACGGGCTGGACCTTCGTCGGAGCGCACGGGCTTCCAGCTAATCTTCGGACCCTGGCTGCGGATCGAAGTTCAGTCTGCGTGGCCGTGGACATCCGTGGACCCGTTGATTCTTGGGGAAGACTCCGGTTTTGGGGGAGTAGCCAGAAGTCTATTGATTGGAATCATGAAGCAGCTGCTCCATGGGGAAAATCTCCAAAGCGCCTCCGAAGCCTCTTGCGCTTGGGCTTGTAGCCAGCGTGGCGTACGTGGCTCAAACCCAAAATGATGGGAAACACACCAAATGAGCTCTATGTTGGTGTTGCCTCTCTGTGTTGGTGTTGCCTGCCAAGGACATTTGAAATATGTTTTTTTGAAAAGTCCAGATGACCTTTGTTTCAGTCGTCCTCCCAGTCCATCTGGTTTTGTCGGCCTCAAAGTCCTCGAACAGTCCTAGCGTTTCGCCATTGGCGAAGCCGGCGCAAGCGATGCCTGAACGCCTTCTCCACGTGGGGTGGACAAAGAGAAGTTTGGAGGAAGAGAAGACACATGGGACCTGGGTCAAAGTGGGGACCTGGTCAAAACCACTGAAAACGGACAGAAAACGACGAGACATGGTCAACCCACAGCACCTTCGGATAGAGAGACCAACACTCATCTACTGGAGAATTCGCACCCAAAGGACCCGCCTCGGACCTGAGGTGACCTATGTTTGGTGTCTTCTGTTGCCAAAAAAACTTACCACAGAGTCCGCAAAAGTGTGACAATCGTGTACGTACTACTATAGTACTACTGCACCACTTAGTTTTTCTGGGTGTTCAACACTTCAAGCAAGTTCTACGAACAGTCGAATCTGTTTGTCCGCTGGTTCCCTCCGCGGGAAGCTGTCCGTGTCTCCTGGGAAGCGATTCAGCTCAGCCGCCCAGGCTGGTGCACCTTCCGGCAAGGCAGCAGGGCCTGCAGTGGTTGCGGTGTGTGTGTTTCCACACATTGACGTGTGGGGTTTTTGCTTTAGTGTGGTATCCGCTCGTGCCTCCGCCTCCTCCCGCCTCTCACTTCTCACCAACCACTCACCAACGGATTGTCACCAACCAACCAATTGTCACCAACCAACTGTTAACCACAAATTTTCACCAACCAATTGTCACCAACCAATTGTCATCAACCAATTGTCGCCAACCAATTGTCACGTCATCAATTGTCATCAACCAATTGCCATCCACGAATTGTCACCACCCAATTGTCATCAACCGATGATTTGCCTGCCAATTGTCTTCTGCAGGGGGTCGGATGTACGCCCTGGCGCTGGCTGGTGCTGGTGGGTCTCCGCCGCTGTGCCGCTGTGATTTGCGTGCGTGGTGTTCAAAAACACTGTGTTTAACAGGGTTTTGTGGGCGTGGAAGATCCAAAATTTGGACAGTGGCGAAATGCAAAAACTGTGGGTTTTACAAGGGCGGTGTCGGTAATGCGCGCCGCGCGGACGTGCATAATCGGATGCCTTTTGGTGATGGGCCCGTGTCAACGCAAATGGCGCAAAATGTGCCCCAAGATGAGCCAACAGAGGCCCCCAAGATAGGTCCAAGATGGGCTAAGATAGCCCCAAGATGAACATAGGTCCAAGATCTCCCGCCTCCCACTTGCCACCAACCAATTGCCACCAACCAATTGCCACCAACTAATTGTCACCAACCGATTGTCATCAACCAGTTGTCACCAACAAATTGTCACCAACAAATTGTCAACAACAAATGTCCACCAACCAATTGTCATGAACTAATTGTCGCCAACCAATTGTCATCAACCAATTGTCTTCTCCAGGGGGTCGGGCCCGGTGCTGGCCGGTGCTGGCCGGTGCTGGTGGGTCTCTGCCCTTCTGAAGGGGGTTATTTTTGAGGGGCTGGTTTTAAAAAAACATGGTCCTCAACCAAGTGTCATCCATCAATTGTCACACCAACCAATTGCCACCCACCAATTGTCACCAACAACCTACGCAGACATTCTCTCTTGCTAAGTTGCTAAGATGTGGGGTGATCCGGTCCTATATTTCTTCAACTTGGGTTGACAAAGTACACTCCTAGTAGCGTTCTTGCTCCTAGTAGTAAGGCCAGGAGCCCCTCGTAGCGTCCTCGCTCTTAGTAGCGATGCCCTTTGCTCCTAGTAGCGTCCTCTACTCCGCTTCACCTATCGTCCCGGGGCCTTGCGAGTCGAAGAGTCGATTTACTGCTTCAGCGTGCTTCAGAAAACTCTGTTTGGGGACAAAAAACGTACCTTTGTTGTAGTGGGTTCCGGTGTTTGTGTTACCATTGTAAGAAGCAAGCCATCTTGGATAGGGCGTGTTCCATCTCATACTACAAGCAGGAAGGGTCCCGAATCGATTCGGAACCGAACTGTCGGAACCGAAAAATAGCGAATGTCAAGAACCGAAATTGTTCAGGAACCGAATGTAAACAACCGTCAATTTTCCGAACACAACCGAACCGAAAAGAAAAACAAACCGTTCCGCCCTGTTCCGAGGTCAATCGGCAAAGCACTGTGGGACATTTTTCTCAGACTGTCCAAGGTCTTGGAGTTTCAGAGCAGCAGTCAGCAGTCCCCCACTGGAATGCCCATACAGCATGTCACTGGCACGGCCCTGGTTTCCTTTCCTTTTATTTGCTTTCTTTTCCAATATGCTTAGACGGCATGGATAAAACATATTCACAAATTGCATTCCTACCTGTCCAGTTCCATGTCCTTTTCTTTCCCTGACGGTGTCCGTTCCTTTCCTTGTCCTGTTCCTTTCCTTTGCAATATGCTTTGTAGACTGCCTGAAAAAAAGAAATCTTCACAAATTGCATACTTTACCTGCCCTTTTCCTTTTCCTGTTCCTTTCCTTTGCGTTGCTTTCCTGTTCCTTGTCCTTTTCTTTGTTTTCCTTTCCAATATGCTTTTTGGAAGGCCTGGAAAAAGCATATTCACAAATTGCATTCCTTCCCTTGCTTTTCCTTTTCTATTCCTTTTTGTTGCTTTCTCTTGCTTTTCTGTTATTTCCTTTCCTTTCTGTTCCTTTCATGTCCTTTCCTTTCAGTTCATTTTACTTTCCCTTTTTCTTCTGTTTCTTCTGTCCTGTCCTGTCTTGTCTATAGTCTGGTCTTGTCTTGTCTCTTTATCATTGCCTTTCTTTACCCCACTGCGTAACCTATGCCTCACAGAACCGAAACGAACCGTGAACCGAACCGAAAGTCCATGAAAAAAACTTCTACACCCAAACCGAACCAAAAGTTTCAATTAGACATTCAAACCGATTCCAACCGAACCGAAACCTTACTGTACAAGTTGGCTCGTTCTCACGCTTCCGGCAAGCCAAAATCTTCACCCGCCAACACTGTCCAATCACTTGCTGGTGAATTGAATCTATGCTACGAATCGCAACAGATCTGCACAAGCTGGCAGCAAAAAAGTGTTAAAGCCTCTCAATCCTGGAACAACATCAGCTGAAACCCCTCTTGGATTCATAAGTGGATGATGGCGGGTCATTGGAGGGCATCGCTATTACACCTTGACTCCAAAGCCTTTCGATTCACAAAGAGACCAATAGGCTGGAACGCTTCGGACTTGGCATCCAGTCAGATCCAGTCAGATCCAGTCCACCGGTCCCCGAACCGTCTGCCCGTCTGCCTGGACGTGCCAAGGAGACCACTGGTGAGATTAAGGCGCCTGGACGGGACCACTCATCCGATGATTCAAGTGCCACCGGAGCAAGGAGCAGCGGTAGCAGCTGCGATAGCGGAGGCGAGGCTGGCTCATACATGGCTTTTTTTCTCGGCGGATTGGGCGATGCTTCGGCGTTCCTGATCTCATGCTAAGAAAGGTTGGTGGGACACGAATCCATGTGCATAAATCGGTCTTTTCACTCGCCCCAAATCCGACCGACTTGACTCCCCCACCGCGCCCCGCCTCGCCGCGCCGGATCCACCAACGCGGGCCGCGGGCCGAGCGCCAGGGCCAGCGCCGCCACCGCGAGCCTCCGACCACGCTCGGGGGGGAATTGTCACAATAAGAAAATGATAAATATTAATGATCATTAAAGTATCGAACACAAGAATCAATATATACATTAGAGAGAGGGAGAGTTGAAAGCTGAAACTGTGAGAAACACAATCAACAAATGCGAAGGAAGATGGCCTCCAACCCAATACAAATAGCATCGAAGGAACCACATGTGAAATACTATGAAATACTGAAATCACCACCCATTTCTACAGTGAAACCCTGGCCAAAGAGCAAACAAGATTCTACAGCCCTTGAAGGTCAGCTTCACAACGAAACTGCCTTCAGTGCTCACCCACAAAATGTAACACTGCCAAGCACTGCCCGAGTGACGAGCCCTTCCTCGCCTGCCGACTCTCTTCCACGTCTGCTCCGACGCTCCCGCGTGCGAAGCCGCCCGCGGCGTGCCCGCCATGGCGCAAACGGAGTGTGTATTGTTTGCTACTAGATTGGGGCCATCGCTAGTAGGTTGGAGGTGCCACGTGTCTTTCTGTAGGCTAGGGTCTCGGCCCAGTTCGGCTTGGCGGACATGTCTTTCCACATAGTCGCAGAGGTCGCAAGGCAGGAGAGAAACGGCCATCTCTTGCACTGAAATCAATGGTCATCGGTGGTTTCTGCTTCTCACTCTGCGATGAGTGGGTAAACCTATATATAGCATCATATGTGTGTGTGTGCGTGTGTCCACACCTGTCCCTAAGGTTTCGAGTCACAAAGGACGCTACTAAGGGCCCCCGGTTTCGCTACAAAAGGCTCCTAGTATCGCTATTAGCGTACAGCTTGTCAATTTTTTAACATGTACAAAGCGCGCAAAAAAGAAGCAGGGGGATGAGGATCCCTTGGTGTGCCTCATCTAACAAAGACCGCACCAAGTGGATGTGATATCAGTGCCCGGCCAGCACTGACGTACCTGCCTTTCAATTTTTTAAACCTTTTCTGCAGTCACGCATTGAGCTTTTGGCCTTGCTTCCTCTTCAAGAGCTCCAGGCCCCAGAGGTTTGCCGTTGAGTTCTGCAGACTTGCGAAACAGCTTTTGTTAAAACATCTTCAAGTATTGTGGACTCTCCACCATACCGTTTCTCACCTTCCGTCCCATCGTGGCAATTGAGTTAACTGAAAACCAATGTCAGAGTGTGAGCCGCTCAGTCTTCCCACTTGGGTGCTGGGTGTGATCCCCTTCAGTGGGGCGCCGAAGCCATGCCGGAACTCACTGTTTTCCACTTTCATAACTGATTCCACGTTTTCCACTTGTATAACTGAATTAACGGAGTTTCGAGCCGCCGGGCTATAAACGATGGAATTCCTTTTTGACAGACTGAATCCACTTGCACCGTCATGTGTCGTTATGAGTCACTACATGTTCCGACTTCGAACTTGCAGTAATGTCTGTCTTTTTTCCCCCCCTACCCCAGGCCTCTGTGGCTATCCCACCTGCTATTCGGGAAACAAAAGGAAATCGCACTCAACACACTTGTGTGTTGGTGCCTTTCCTTCTGTTTCTCCTATCTATTGCTAGCTACCCGAGCGCTCGCGAACTACTTTCATTTAACTAAGTGGGCCTCGTCACTATGC